CCCCCCCCACACACACACAAACGCAAAAAAATCGGTCTCAATTAAGGACATCCTTAAATTTGTAAGGCAAGGCAAATTTTTTCATTTGAACCTGTTTTTCCAATTTTGAAATTTTCTTGATTTAAGAACATTTTTTTGTAGTGGAGGTGGAGGTGACGATTAGGATTGGACGAGGTGCGTCGGAGGGGCGAAGGCGACAGGCATGCTCCCGCACTAACATCCCGATGGCTGATTGTCATAGGGCTCGGTGACTCATTGGCAAAGCGTGGGAAAAGGGGGCACTTCCGCTAGGACGAACAGTACTTTACACGCAAGACACAAGTCAGGGTCGTCAGGGTCTCCACGCGCATGAGGACCTGCTCTGAAATTTACGCAGTATGCAAAACCCTTTGTTTCGAGCACAAAGTTTCCGTTTCCTCAATTTGTTTACAACACTTTCGGTTGGCGGACTTTGGAATGAGTAATGTACACTTCGTCCCATTCAAATTCATACATTCCGGCGCGGGCCTTGCCGGATGGCCCCTCGCCTCCGCCCGTCGGACAAGTGATAATGAACGAGGGAAGAGGGCAGTGCTACCAACACCGAAAGCGAAAAGTCAAAAAGCCTCCTCCACCAGGACCAATGCTCTATCCAGGCCCTCACCTTGAAAACGAGACTATGGTCATTGACCTCTCTCCCCACGGCCGCGACTCAAAGTCAAGAACAGGATCCCCCCTCCCCCTCCCGCCTGTGTCGGCCTGGAGGGAGTCCGGGGCCTCGCAGCCGCGCTATCTCGACGCGATAGGTAAGAAAGTCCACGTACGTTACTATACATACGCCTCCGAGGCCGCGCGGGCCCCAAGCAGTGGCACCACATGATGAGGGGGGAAGGGGTCGAACGCAAATCACGTCATAATAAAAAACTTTTTGCACGCTTATTCATTTCAACTTCGGGGGTTGTGAACAGGAGCGTTTATGTTAAGAAGGATAAATACCTCTTTGCGGATAACACCGGATAGCTTTTTTTTATTTACATATTGTTCCTCTTTGAGTGTATAGCGCATTTTCTTGGAGGAGAAAGAAGGGTTAACACAAAGAGCGGTTGCCTTCAAAATTGAGGAATGTTCTTGAATTGAAAACAGAGAGGGTGTGCGCGGTGTTTCGCTGCACGCGCCAGTGTGGGCGGGTTTGCCTACCCCATCTGCCTATAAGGCGCCAACCCCCCTGTGGGTAGGCAAACCTGCCCGGGGACCGGAGCGTTCACCGAAACACCCGGGTAGCCCAGCCCACCCGAGCGACGACGCAGCCCACGGACTCCCTAATGCATGATGCAAGCACAAACTTAGGTAGGCAAATTAGACCTCTTTCGCGAACAGCAAGAGATGCACTTTGTTACATGGCGGTATATTTACTGGCGTACGCGTACAGTGGCGACGACTACTCGTCACTTCCTGTTTCATATACATCAATATTCAAATTTTGTCGACCAAAAAATTTCATGTAACTTACTTTACACGCGCAATCTTTTTCTTTATCTTGCAACGTCATTGCTCATTGGCCGTATGCAACTACTTGAACCCCACCTATTCTTTGAATTAAAGAGGAGGTACGGCGAGCTCAAACGCAAGTACAAGTTGGCCAGCGCTGCGACCCCGTTTGAACGCTCGCCCCTGACCGCCACGCCTGTCCTACCCCACCCCCCAACGCCCTCTATCGGCACGGGCGCCTAATTTCCCCTCCAGCAGCAGCGCGCGCTCCAGACTCCAGCTCCGCTCCGGGGTCCAGCCTCACAACAAACCCGGCCTCCGGGAGAGCACACAAAAAACAAAACAAAAAGCGAGAATACCCCGGAGCCCAATTACGACTAATCCCCGGCAGGTAGGCAGGGGCCAGGAGGACCCCGTGGAGCGGCCCCGTGCCTCCAGGACTCACCTTCACCGCTCGGCTCGGCTCAGCAGCAGCACAAACACGGGGGCGAGCCCGAACCGGACTCGGTCAACATAACCTCACTTGGGGTGCAGCTGTGGGCGAGGCGCTAAAGCACGCTCGCTCTGCACGCTCTGCGCGACACACGCCGGCGGCAAGCCAACACCGGACCCGTCAGGGACCCGTCGACACACGAGCCCAAAGGGTTGCGCGGGTCGCCTTCTTTCGCGGTTTCAGCTTCGAGGGCCGAGTTCATTCACCGAACACTGCCGCCGCGCAGCAGAGCAGAGGAATGAAACGTCGATAGACGGGACTGGTCGGGTCGGGGGGGACGGGGGGCTCAGGACGGGTCGCGGCGGGTCGCTCGCCTGCTCGCTTCTCCACAGCGCACCGCGGACTGGTACTGGTTTAGGCCCCTCAGCAGCACGCCGCCGGGCCGCGCCGCGCTAGCCGCGCTCCCTTCCACCACGCCGCCGACGCCGCTCTGCCCCGCCGCCGTCCCGCCGTCTCCCCGCCGCGCCCCGCCGCGCCTCGTCCACCGCGCCCGCCGCTAGGGCCAAGGGCTGCGACAGCCAGCGCGGGCCTACGCGGGATTACACCTAGAGCTTCACCGCGACACCGCGCGCAGCCCGCGGCACCACCGCGCATCCCCCCTCCTCTCCCCGTCTCTCTCGCTCCCCCGCCACACGGCGCTGTCTAACTCTGTCGCTCCCCCTGGCTCCCCCC